CTCACAAGAGTTTAAAATCTGTAAGAGGAAGGAATCAGCAACCTTCTTCCAAGCAGTCCGAGGCTGCATAAATATGTACCATAAGCAGGGTAGTGCAATGAATAAATCCACAAGTGGGTGTATGTAAAAATATATAATTATTAGCTTAAAAAAAGAATGTTTTTATGGTATTATAATGCATGTAACATTTACTTATCTGTTTCTATATGTTTGTTTTGCAGGTATGTGCTTGATGTTTTTCCTGTGTCCAAGTAATAGTAAGAAAACCCAACTAACCGTGCTTTAACTATGTGTAAATTTTACTTGTGTTTTGTTTGACTGATATGTTTGACATACATTAAAGGATACATTCATTTAAAATAAATAAATAAATGCACATTTTTTTTTTTTTCTGGTAAAATTTGCATTTACTATTTTTTTTTTTTTTTGTAGGAGCCTAGAAAGCATTGCACACATGATCAGCAGATTGATGGTGCCATGCAGAACTCCTACAGACTGTCAGTGTCTGCTGTCTGCCTGTACATGGTACAGGTGGGTGATTTAACACTGACTGGAAGAGTCAATGAACTACCAGAGTGCTCACCAGATTTTTAGCTGTCGGTACTTGTAGTGCTCCCATTCACAGAACTCACAGGCTACAGTAATTACAGTAATATGTTACGTGTTACACCCTGAATATGGGTGTAACATTTTACAAAAGGTGAACATATCCTTTTTTGTGTTTTGCAATGGATAATTGTGCCATAACTGATAACTGTTTAACAATGTTTGAGGGAAGAATAATATCTTCTCCTGGTGCAACAATACATTGTAACATATTAGCTCTTGGAGTCTCAATTTTGACACTAATAACACTGGAACAACATTCTGCACAAAGATTGAATTAACTTCATTTATCAACATGTGTGTCTTCAATCAGATTGTTTGCTGTAGACATCAAAATCTCACCAAATATGCACAACTTTTTTTTTTTATATATATAGTGAAAAGGTATTAGAATTTATGTCAGATTTTTTTTGTCTGTGTCATTCTTGTCTAGACTTCCCTGTGCTTTTGTTTTGGTGACCACAATTTGAAGGAGGTCACTGCAACAGGGGCATATACAAAAATGCAATGCTGTTAGAGATTATAATCCTTTAAAACTCAATTAAAAACAAGTACTATAAATGACTCTTTTGTGCCGTGTACCTGGTGGAGATCAAGCTGAAAAGGGGGGCTCTCTTGCACCTCATGCCCAACACCACTGGTAGTAGTGACAAGAGATGAGGAAACTCAGAGTATGAGGTACAATGTAGCAGGTAGAGCCAGTGGTTGATTGTGAGGTACAGACAACTGGACCACCGGATAAGGACCAGAGGGAAATCATCCATTCAGCAGACAGGAACAAAGCCAGGACACAAGCTGATTGTCAGCAAGAGCTGTTCTGTGAAGTACAGGAATAGTGATGGGCCGAACACCCCCATGTTCAACCATGAACTTCGAACTCAATGCAAGTCTATGGGACTTTTAAATTCAAAAGTGGCCATTTTGCAAGCTTATATGCAAGTTATTGGCATAAAAGGGGTGCGGGGACATTTTTCATTGCATAAAGTTAACAAAAAAAAAGAAATATTCCGTTAAATATCATGCCGGGGGGGGGTTCCCTTAAAATACCTGCAAAGTTTCACATCTGTACAATATATAGAAACTGCTGTGGCAGGACTGACATTAAAAAAAAAACAAAAAACATTTTTATAATAAAAAAACAAAGCATCCTGGAGTTCCCCCTCTAGTCCATACCTGACCATTTAGGTCTGGTAGGAAGGTTAGGAGGGACCCCACAATACATTTTTTTTATGTGGGGTTCCCCTAAAAACTATACAAGGCCCATTAGGCCTGGTGGGACTTTTAAGGAAACCCCACCCTTAAAAAATAGGAGTAAAAAGTGTGGGGTCCCCCCTAAATTCCTACCAGACTATTCATCTGAGAACAGATCTGGCAGGGCAGGAAGGGGGGGACAACTGAGCACCCCCTCCCTGTAGCTTACCAGGCCATGTGCTCTTGGAATGGGGACGTCCCCATGCTGATGGGGACAAGGGCCTCTTACCCACAACCCTGGCATGGTGGTCATGGGGTTCTGGGGAGCTCATTAGCATCAGGGCATCCTTTTAAATAAGGGGGCACCCTGATGCTGCCCCCCTCTTGTGAATGAGTTTCTTTTTGACAAGTCCTTTACTAAAAAAAAGCCAAAAAAATGGTTCCATCATTGTAATCCATTGTCAATCACGGCATCCAGTGTTGTCACAACGACACTGATTTGCCAAAATAAAAAAAACCCTGACATTTGCCAACCCATCTGTACCTGCCGAGCACTTGCCACAATATGACAGGTCTGACAGTCTTGGAGTTGTGCCTCCTCCTCACTTTCCTCCTCTGTTCTCTTAGGCACCCAAGTACAGTCAGTGACCTCCTCATCTCCTCCTTCCTTGTCACTGGAGCCTACTTGCTGCGGCTGGGGGAACATGACTGCTAATTTCTTGTCCATATTTGGCACCCCCTCTCTATGCTCATGTCACTCCCTTCCTGAGTCTGGAGGATCATTAATTGCTGCGCATCCTCCAGCAGCATGGGACTGATGCTATGTTTGAATAATTCAGCTGACCCCTCTGTGCATGATGGTGGGGCTACGGAAGGAGTAGCTGTGGACAAAGAGCCTGTGGAATAAGCCGCTTTGGCAGCTGTGGTGGAAGGCAAACTAGTATGAGCCTGGGTGACAGAGGATGAGGAGGGTGAGGATGACTTAGTTATACACTCCACCACCTCTTCTGCATGTTGTGGCTTAAGAACACAGCCAGCCCTGGAAAAAAAGGACAAGCCTGCCTGCAGAAGATGCACGATGTCCAAGACCACCACTTTTCACTGTGGACACAGAGGCTGTTTGCCTTCTTTTAGCTGCCTGTGAGCATCCTTGTTGGCCTTTCAGACATGGTGGGATTTTTTTTTAAGATGATTTTTATAACTTTTTATTTTAGAGTGTGAGATGGGAATTTGGTGCTTGGGTGCAATACTTTTATGCTTGGTGCAAAAATTTAAACAAAAAAAAAAAATGGAAGCAGGAGTGCAGTAAAACACACTGACACATCAATGACACCACTACACTGCTCTTCACAACACTGCACTACACTACACTACACACCTAACACACCACTAACTCCACTAAACTCCAGCAACACACTACACAAGGCTACTGTGTAAGCGGCCTTATATAGAATGGGGCGTGATTTTGGCCAATCATGGCTCTCATAGTGCATTGAGCTATGAATGGATAAAACATTGCACTGGACCTGTGGTCAGGTGCATTGCTTTGGCCAATCATGGCTCTCACAATGCTCTGTGAGAGCGCACACACATGAATGGTCAATGTTCGAGTTGAACTTACTTTCAACTCAAACATTGAGCCCAACACTATACAGTAATGTAAGGGAAAAGCAGTGTCAGGATACAAGTCGAGTTAAGTTAACAGCTGGGCAGCAGGATACCAAATCACAAGGCAGGAACCGAGAACAGAAACACAGACCAAGGACACAATCATTAGGCAAGAATCCAGAGAAGGGTCACAGGCAATTCAGGTTGTACATGGGAAGGCAAGTGTAGAAGGTTGAGTCACAGGTGAACCAGAAAGTAGCTGAAGACCACTCAGCAAACTGACCATGTCACATACTAGCTTGAATATACTGTTTAGCACCAATTTCAGTGCTGAGCATGCATGTGCACTTACACTGCTTAGCGTGCATGCTAAAACATTCAATCGTTTTTGCTAACACACATTATAGTAACTCTGTGCTTAGAAAGATGCACATGTGCATGTCCTGTTTTTTTTTTTTGTATTGGTACACATTGGACCTTCCTTACACTTTGCATCCTTGTTGGAATTATTCAACTTACTTCTTGTCCCGGGGACCATATAGGAAATAAGGGAAAATGCCTTCAATGGGATCAATTTAAAACTGATAAATGTTTAACTATTGACAATTCTTTTTGAAAAAAAAAAAACAAGTTTGACTAAAGTTCGGCTTAAATCCTTATACAGGGTAAACGAATCCTAGTTTTGATATAGGCCCAGAGAATGTAGTGCACAAAACATTGATGATATGTCAAGCTCAGCACTTAACTTTCATTTTACTCCAGTCAGACAGACTGCTATGGTTTTGCACATTTCTCATTGCGTGATTGGAAAAGCCTTTGTTTCCTTTTTGCTGAGAGGTTTCTAATGCCACATGCTCACAATTGATCGTATTTATCAAAGTCCCTGTGGGAAGGGCTTTCTCAGTCTTTGTTACCATTTAACAGCCCCTCAGATTCAAATCTGTACCCCTTGGCTTGTGTTTTACCCCTTGGCTGATCAAGTTTTGAGAATGTATTTGAATAGGGGTGTTGCTGTAGAGAATTACAGACTGCCTACCTTGTCTATCATGAATGTGTTTTACCCCCTGGCTGTTCATATTCCTCATAGATTGTAAGCTTTAACTACTAGCCTACAGGGCACTTATACCTCCTTCCTGCCCAGGCCAATTTCCAGCTTTCAGCGCTGTTGCACTTTGAATGACAATTGCGCGGTCATGCAACACTGTACCCATATGACATTTTTATCATGTTTTTTCTTAGTTTTTGTTATACAATTTTGTGAATAAGTGATTTATCTTCTTCACTGATTTGCGCTAATGAGGCTGCACTGATGGGCACTGATAGGCTGCACTGATGGACATTGATAGGTGGCACTGATGGGCACTGGTGAGGAGGCACTGGTAGGTGGCACTGATGGGCATTGACAGGCATCACGGATGGGCACTGAAAGGCAGCACTCATATATGGCACTGATAGGTGGCACTGATAGGTGGCACTGACTGGTAATGTTAAGTGGCACTGACTGGCACTGTTAGGCGGCACTGATAGACAGCACTGAGTGGCACTGATACAAGGCACTGATGCACACTGATAGGCGGCACTGACTGGCACTGATCGGTGGCACTGATTGGCAGCACTGATAGGTGGCACTGACTGGCATTGATAGGTGGCACTGATGGGTGACATTGAAAGGCAGCTCAGATGGGCACTGATATGTGGCATTGATGTGGCACTGATGGGCACTGAAATGTGGCACTGATGGGCACTGGCAGGTGGCACTGATGGACACTGACAGGTGGCACTGCTGGGGCTACACAGATCATCAGGGCACACTGATCATCAGTGCTCTGATGATCTGTGTACATGTCCCCTCTGAGGAATGCCGATTATCGGTTCTCCACTCCTCACGAGCTGTCAGCGTGACAGCTCGTGAGGGAGAGAAATGCCGATAACCTGCATTTCCCTGTTTACATGTGATCAGCTGTGATTGGACACATCTGATCACATGACTGAGCCGACATCTTTGGCACTTTCCATTGATCGGTGATTCGCTGCGCGCTCCCGGAGCCGAGCATGTGCGGTTAGAATGGGAGGACATCATATGACGTCCTCTCAGAACGAGAGAACCGCCTTGCATCCATCATTTTACTATATGGTGGGCGGGAGGCGGTTAATGAGCAGGTCCCTCTGTTTGCTCTTGTACCAAATTGTATTGTAACTGTAATGTCTACTTTCATTTTGTAAAGCGCTGCGCAAACTGTTGGCGCTATATAAATCCTGTATTATAATAATAATAATAATAATAAAAAAGTACAGTTGCTGCCCTTCCAAGAGCTTTTTTGTACAATGCACTATAAAGAATTTCTTCTAAAACTTCCTTGAAAACCTTCTTACATAAGGAAAAGCAACTGTTGTCAGTGCATGCTTTAGCAGCCTCGAAGACGGTAATAAATTTTGACATGATTTCCATCCAAATTTTAAATTGAACATGAAGATTCCATTTTGAATACATTTCCTGATGGCCAAAACATGTTCATGAAGCTGAAGTGAATGCAGTTTATATAGATTCCCTGAGCCAGATTAATCTAATCTGATATTGGAACATGGACTCCTCTTCACAATTGCTGACAACACTACAAACCTGATTTCTCTGCTTTGAATTTCTGTTCTTGTCATTGCTGCATCCGTTTAGGTACTTGTATATTGGTAAAGTCATTTTTCTTCACAAATGATGACTAATGAAAAGAGCAGCAGCCATACAGGTGTCTTGTAATTTACACTTTTATTATTTATGTATTTTACACTTTAAAGCGTAACAAAACCATTTAGATCAGACCCTGCCACCAAAAGAGCAATGCTTCTACCATATATATTTATATACAAGTTATTTTTAAACTCTATTATACCTAATTGCCTTTAGGATTTCTTTGAATGGTGCTGTAATCAAGCTGATATTTTAAACTAGACCTGTTATTTAAATTACTACATTATTGTTTTGAGAAAAAAAAATCCTTATTTCTTGCCAAAAATAAACGCTTTCCTTTTCCTGAGCTCCCCCATGTGACATACTGATTAAGAAAAATCTCAATGTCTCTGGATAACAGGAACATTGAAGGTGTTTCTATTATTAGAGATTGCAGAGTATATTGTCTTTAATCAGACAGACTCTGTTGGGTAGACCTGCAGTAAAGAAAAAAGGGATCAACTAGGAAACAGTCGACACACCTAATAATTAACTATAACTATTACCCTGTACATGTACTGTAATTTTTACAAACTATATGTAAAATCAGGGTTCTTTAAACATCAACAAGGAGTGATAAGATTATCAACATTAAGCTAATTTATTAAATTAATGAAAAAGAATAAAAACATGAAAAGACTGTAGTTAATTAAATTATGATGCTGTCAGTGTCTAGTCTTGATAAAACTAAAAACACTTTTAGAGCAGGCGCTGCCTGTAGCTGACAGTGGCATATTGCAAACATTGGAGGCAATTGTTAAATCAGCAAACAGAAAGGTTAGGTAATGTTAAAGTAGAACTATGGAAAACAAAACAATTGCAGTGCAGTGCTCTATCCTTAATAGCAAATCTTATAAAACGTGCCTTAGAAAATTATAAACCATACACATTGATATATAACAATAACTGTGCAAAAATATTCCAAAAAAACCCTCCAAAAAATGTCTATGATGAAGTCTGTGCTTATGCAAAACAAAATGTCAGTATATAAACTTTTTATAAACAAAATCTTCAAACTTATGCTCTAGTGTTCATAAAATAAACTTGAAACAGTGATCCAAGCATAAAACAGTGATGGAGATGTCTTCTTCTCATTACATGACCCCCAATGTTTGATATCCTCTGCCATCATCTGTGTGTCCACAGCTATACGTTTACCCTAAAAAAAAAATGACCCCTAAAGTTATAGATGGTCATACACAGCCTGCCAAGGAAAGTGTCAATGCACACTGATAGAGACAGCATTATTGGAAAGTATCCACCAAAGAAATACTCCGCTCTGTTTTTTTTTTATTTGTACTACTTCTCTACTCTTGCCTCCTCAAGACAACCAGTATTCACTCATACATAAAAGAAAGGAAGAGATTTAATACTTTTTGTATAGAATACCATTTATTCAGTCAATAAAATTACACTCACATTTCAAAGACAAACGTAGGCATATGACTAAGCAGCCGGCATTCACAGTGGATAAATACACCAATCCTCAATACTATCCCTACTAATAGCTCGAGTGGTTTTGCCTGCCTGTGGGTTGAAGTCACTCTTGGCACCCATTATGGCTTCCTCAGACGCTGGGAGGCAATTGGATCATCACAATTCTTGCTGGGACCCTCCCCCATTGTTAAGAGATTGAATAAACAAGAGCCACTGCCAGGTTTTTGTAGCATGGACTATACCACCATAATGTTAGAGCCAGATGGGAAGCTCTTAATAATAATGGTCTGGGAATTTAACCCCCAAATTACTGGATACCCATATCTTATGAATTGGTTAATGAATATGTGTGAATGCCACTTGCCCAAATTAAACAAAAAATCGTAAAACTTCAAAATAATATTAACAATCAAGGTCACATTAAATATTATATTGAATCTGCATAAACAAAAAGTCAAGGAACACATAGGAGTGCATGCAATTTCTAATTTTGTTTTACTTATTTTTTGCCGTGCAGTGATTTTTACACAAAGTAGAACTATGGCCTTCCATCAAAAATGTTCAGCAGCACCCTAATTGGACTGTATTTCAGTTTCCTCTTACTTCCCCTGCAAAGTCCCAAACATTTCTGTTGATTCTGCCAGTGAAGTCCATCTAATACAGGTTCTGTGATGTGTGGAAACAATGCTGCACTGCTTCTGAATTTAGAGCAGAGTTGATAATCTGATATAGGCTGTGCCCACTACAGGGGGATGAGAAGATGTTCCAGAGGGATGGCTATTGGCATTGTAATCTCTTAATCAGGACCTGGCCACACCATGTTCTTCCCAGGGGCGGACTGACCATTCAGGCACTCGGTCACTGCCCGAGGGCCCGGGGTCACTAGAGGGCCCCATGAGAGGCTCAGTCGATCCTCTGCCGCTGCTGAAAGGAGGAAAGAAGGAAGTGTTGCAATGGGGCAGCGCCGCGGCAGGCACTTCGGACAACTCTCCTCGGAGTCTCCTCAGAGGGTCGGGTCCCACATCCCTGCCAAAGGACGGGCGGCCAGAGAAGAGAGCGGAGTCATCATTGTGCTGACCTGCCCTGTAGCCTGCATCAGGTCAGTGTGTAATCCCCTGTCCCCCGATGACACTGACAGCACTGCAGCTTAACCGCCCCCCTTCTGCCATATAACGAAATGACATGTGGGCGGCGGTTCTCTTGTTCTGGGAGGACATCATATGACGTCCTCCCACTCCAACGATCGGTGGTGCACTGTGTCCCTGGGACAGAGCGGATCACTGATCAGCGGAAAGAGCCGAAGACGTCGACTCGGTCATGTGATCAGCTGTGTCCAATCACAGCTGATCACATGTAAATAAGGCAGTGCTGGTTATCGGCATTCCTCTCCTCACCAGCTGTCACGCTGACAGCTCGTGAGGAGAGGAGAGCCGATAATTGGCATTCCTCAGAGGGGACATCTACACTGATCATCAGGGCACTGATCAGTGCCCTGATGATCAGTGTAGCCCCATCAGTGCCACCTGTCAGTGTCCATTAATGTCACCTGTCAGTGCCAATCAATGCACATCAATGCCACATATCAGTGCCAATCAATGCCACATATCAATGCCTACCAGTGCACATAAATGCCACATATCAGTGCCCATCTGAGCTGCCTATCAGTGCTAGTCAGTGCCGCCTATGAGTGCTGTCAATCAATGCCCGTCAGTGCCACCTAACAGTGCCAGTCAGTGCTGCCTATCAGTGCCATATATGAGTGCTGCCTTTCAGTGCCCATCAGTGATGTCTGTCAATGCCCATCAGTGCCACCTACCAGTGAATCCTCATCAGTGCTGCCTATCAATGCCCATCAGTGCCACATTATCAGTGCCCATCACTGCAGCCTCATTAGCGCACATCAGTGAAGGAGAAAAATTACTCATTTACAAAATTTTATAACAGAAACTAAGAAAAAAACTTTTTTTTTCAAAATTTTCAGTTGTTTTTTGGTTAGTTTAGCAAAAAATAAAAACCCTGAGGGGATTAAATACCACCAAAAAAAGCTCTATCTGTCTCAAAAAATGCTAAAAAGTTCATACGGGGACAGTGTTGAATGACCGCGCAATTGTCATTCAAAGTGTGACAGCGCTGAAAGCTGAAAATTGGCCTGGGCAGGAAGGGGGTATAACTGCCCGGTAGGCAAGGGGTTAATAGTAGTCTTCTATTCTATATTCCCTATATAAAACAGTGATATCTGTACACTGAGTGGCACCCAGTGTACAGATATCAGTGTTATATGTAGGGAATAGCATGCTATGTACAAATATCAGTGTTATATATAAGGAATAGCACTCAGTGTACAGATATCAGTGATATATACAGTGGCTTGAAAAAGTCTTCTCCTCACGACTGAAATGTCCCCCATGTTGTCATGTTACAATGTATTCCCCCCCCCCCCCCGAAATGTCCCCTATGTTGTCATGTAAAATGTATTTATTGGGATTGGATGTGATAGACCAACACAAAGTGGCACATAATTGTGAAGTGGAAGGAAAATAAAAAATGGCTCCAACATTTGTGACCAATAAATCTGTGAAAAGTGTAGCGGCATTTGTATTCGCCCCCCTGGAGTCAGTATTTTGTAGGACCCCCTTTGGCTGCAATTCCATCTGCAAGTCTTTTCGGGGACGTCTCTCCCAGCTTTGCACATCTACAGGTCTGGCCACAGATTCTCCATTGGATTTCGGTCTGGACTGTGACTGGGCCATTCTAACACATGAATATGCTTTGTTTAGAAAGTCTGGAGACCCCAAATTTAGATCAAAGGGCCAGTTTACTGTCCTTCAGGTTTTTGGGGCCCGGACTATGGTCTTTGGGATCAGAAATTGTCCTGGCATCAGTGGGAGTAAACCATGCATCTTTAGTATTAGGGGGAGGAATAGCATCCCATCGTTGGTATCAGTGGCAGGAATAGTGCCCCATCATTGGTATCAGTGGGAAGAATAGTGTGTTATCATTCATGTCAGTGAAAAGAATAATGTCCTATCATTGGTGTCAGTGGGAAGAATAGTGCCACATCATTGGTGTAAGTGGGAGGAATAGTGCCCTATCATTGGTGTCAGTGAAAGGAATAGGAAAAATTCATTAAAACCTTCATTTTGAAATGTAACATTGTTGCGCTCTCTTTAATGTAAGGTTTTTTTTTCTTTATTTTGTGTAATAAACATTTATTTTGAACATACTGTAGAGATATTCTGTGACAAACGAATGTATTGCGGGCAGTGTAATATGTAGGTGGGGCTTTGTGTGGGTGTGGCTTGAGTGGGCAGGGACACAGGGGGACCCATGATCTCCTATTGCCCGGGGGCCCTATGAGTTGTCAGTCCGCCCCTGGTTCTTCCCTTTTCTTTCTAGATTGGCAGCACTCCCTCTGTTGCTAAAACACTCCCACTGTGAGCTGCAGTGTCTGGGAGGGGGAGGATGTGAGACACAAATGAAGGAGGATTTGACTCAGTCAATAAAGACAAAGGAAGTTTTTATTTATTTTAGTCTTGTACATCACATAGTAACTGGTCTTCGGACTTCTTACAGGAACCTTTAGCTGTGCTTTAAGACATGTCAGTAGGCAAAGTAAAGACTTCTGAGAGAAGTTTTTCTAGCTCAGACAATAGAAATTCTGATTTAAACTATATGTAAATAAAACACAAAGATGTAATATATGACTGCCTACTAGTTCTTATAAATAATGGCTGCATTAGTGTTACTTTTTCAGGCTTTTCCCTTTATTTTCACCTAATAGTGCTGAGAATAACCCACTTCTTGTCCCTTCATGGCTAAAAACCCAATGACTGCCTGTAGGGAACACTAGGTGAATTCTAGGTAAAAGTAGGCATTGTTGGTAAACCAGTTATTTATATACAGTATATTCTTAAAATTTTGCTGATTTTATATATAAAAATACTAAAAGGTATAAAATGTATATTTGAATCTGTTTTGTGTATTTTGTTATTGGCTTATGCTTGCTATATTTGATGAGAATCCAGCTCGATTTATGATCTGTTTTCATAATTTGTTAGGAACACTATTTTTCCATTGTATTGCATAATATTAATTAAAGGTTCAGTTACATGCTCTCTGCCGACCATTGCAAGATTGCAACTGGCTGGTTGCTATGGGTTACTAAATTTAGGACTAAGAACCCTACATTAAATAAGGATTGTGAGTTAATTTTGTATTGTATTACTTTACAAATTTATATGTTTTTCCTAATATTGCATATCCAGTAGGATCGATGAGATACTACTATTTATAGCAAGGGATCAATTGGTGTATTGACTCTCTAGTATAATAACTGTAATGCCCAACTAAACACAAAATTGTACAAGAGAAATTTTCCAGGTCACGGACTTGGTGATTAACTTGGCAAGGTACTATGTCTTGTGCTTCCAGGATATTGTCCATTAAGTATTAAATTCAATATCTAATTATTTTACTGCTGACAAATGATTAAAGTAACATTGTAAATTGAACAATAATATGTAATATTTTATGCCTGTTTTATTCTTTCTTTAGTTCTAATGCATTTGTGTAAAAGAAATATTAAACATAAACTATATGTAAAAACTATTATTAAGATACAACTGCTAACCCAGTCTTTGAAGGAAGCCTATATTTTAAAGTAAAAAAAAAAAATATATATATATATATATAGTATATATATGTGTGTGTGTGTGTATGTATATATATATATATATATATATATATATATATATATATGTGTGTGTGTGTGTGTGTATATATATATATATATATATATATATATATACATATATATGTGTGTGTGTGTTTGTATGTGTATATTTATATATATAATTTTATTATCAGTTCTGATGATTTTTTTATGATAGTGCTACTATTTTTATGATGCTGCTCTACATAATTTCTTCACTCACTGTCATCAATTCTGTACAAAACTGAAATTAACCACTTCCATACAGGGCACTTTTACAGGAGAAGTGTGGCCACAGCATTTTGGCTGTACTTCTATAGATCACAGGAGCAGGGGCGGACTGACAACTCATGGGGCCCCCGGGCAATAGGGGATCATGGGGCCCCTGTGTCCTTGCCCAAACTCAGAAAAGCCTATGAAAAAGGTACCAGGGGCATCTCATGGGGCCCCCTACTGACCCCGGGCCCTCGGGCGGTGCCCGAGTTTCCATATGGTCAGTCTGCCCCTGCACAGGAGTACAGTTTGTTCTGCACTTCTGTGACCCATTTTCAGCAGACAGTGGACTGAAGCCCATTGTCGGCTGACATCCCTCAGCCAGTCCAGGCTCTGGAAAGATCACAACTTTACAGTTGGGTTGCACCCAAATGCCTGGACTGGCAGCTGGGTCAGCCTCTCAACAAGCCTGAGCCAGCAGCTGATACTGCCCCCTCCACAGTCCAGTGCTCCAGAGAGCCCTGGAGGGGCAAAGAAGAGAGCCAGTGACTGACACTTACCACTCTCTGCGCAGAGCAGTGGGGAGAACTGAACAATCAGCTGTGTTTGATCGCTTAGTGCTCAGTGTAAATGTTTTTTTTTTTCAAACCTCATACTTCTGTTTTAATCAAGTTAAAGTATATGTGAACCCTCACCTTATAAAACAACATATTCAGTTTAATATAGAAAGGAAAGGCAAAATGTTTGTGTATAAACAACAGTAAATACTTTTTTTCTTTATTATTATAAATTATCACATAACCTATGTTCCCAGCTGCATAAGGGACTTGGAGAGGCGGAGCAGTACACTGATCTTCCAAGTGAATGGCTGTGCAGGGGTGCGTGTCAGCCTAAGTCTGATCATTGGGGGACAGACAAGCTTTTCTCCTAGCACAGCCATAAAACTGACAAAGCTTGAAAGGATGTGCTCTCATGCCTAGCATGGTCAGTTTGAAAAAGGAAAGCAAGGGGGCACCAGGAATTGCACACAAAGAAGAAATACAAAGAGAACAGATATGTTTTAATAAAAGTACATGGTAGCTCAGACAGATGTCAGAAATATGAAATTTTGGGGTAACATATTCTTTTAAGTTGTCCTCACCCTGGCCGGTTCTTCACTGGTCTTGGGGTCCCCAGCTCTGGGATGTTTAGTGTGAGAGGCCAGCTGTTACTCCTTGTGGCTTCACAGCTGAATTCCCACTGTGCATGTATGAACTGCACTGCAAGGTGTGAATGGTTCTGCAGCTTCCTGGGGCCTATGCCATGTCCCAGAAGGTTGCAGGTGGGGTTTGAACTTCCAGTGAAATCACCTAGATGTTTCCAGAGGAAGTCAAAGCCGGTAGCTGAGAAAACGAGGTACCCCCCCCCCAAAAAAAAAAAGTTCCAAAGGCGAGGGGGGGGGGGGCATAAGGTGGAACATCCCAATTTTTAGAGTCTTGAATGCAATAGAGAAGGTGTAGATTTTACTTTTGTATGTGTACTCATTGTGAAAATTCACTCCTCAATTTATCCAGTTTACTATTGTCACCCAAAAAAAAAAATGATAAGAAATACAAAAAATAGGAGTTCTTTTTTTATTTATTCTGTCTTTACTTTAATTTCCATATACAAAAGATTGTCAGTATATACAATTAATGATTCCCTTTATATAACCCTCTTCCCTCTCCTCCCCTCTCAGCCCACCCCTGCCCCAGAATAACAACCTGGATAAGAGTTCTTATCAGC